GTAAGTTTGGAAAAATTGATAGATTTTTGAATAATCAATAATTGATTGATTCCATATGTCATAGCTCGAGAATATGTTAGAATGTTTTTTGCAGGATTTTTTGCAAATTATCTTCGATAATGTACTATGCTATTCCTTTCAGTTGTTGACTTTTAATGCAATTTTTTTACTTAAATCAAATTCTTTTATTATGCAAAGTTTAATTCGAAAAATCTGATATTTGAAACTATGTATTCCCATTTTACAGCCACACTTCTACCGTATTCACCCAACTATTACCGTATAGCTGCACTCTCTGCAAAATGTGCACTATCTCTTCTGGTACTCGTCTTGTCTGCTACCATAAAAAGGGATTTCTTGAAAGTCTTCACATTATTTCTAATACTACCGATAGTATTAGAATGTGGATTTGATGTGTATTCAGAAATCAAGACTAGCATCACTTATTATGGATCAAGGTGAGATTTTTTAGTTTTCCAATAAATTTTTATCTGGATGATTTATGTTACATTGACATGAGATTTGAGTTTGAGTAGCATCTACAAAAATTATTCGGAAACTGAGGTGAAAAATAGTCGAGAAATGTTGACTAGAATATTGCCCAGATGGCTAACATCCATTTATGGCCAAGAAGCTCTGCTCTAAACTCTCGCCCATTACCGTAACCTCCCGAGCAGACCGATTCTGAGTAAACTGGAGAGTACGGTATGGGCAAAAGTGCAAAATAAAAAATTCACGGGCATTGCCGTGACTACAGAGCACCCAAATATATGTAAGATCTCAAAGAGTTTACCAAACACACAAAAGTTTTTGAGAATAATTTTTTCAGAGAACTCCTCATGGACTACTTTCGAGGTGATTACTATGATGTGGCTACCAGTTCATTGCAACAGTGAGTCATAATTTGTCTAGGTTTTCATACAAATTTGCCCAATAAATCTGTTTTTAGTGAGGCGGTAAGAATCTACCAGGAAGTACTAGCACGTTACACGACTTACAACATTTACAGGTAATTAATAAATCGATACATATGTTTAGAAAGAACAAAATCTGCATTTACGTGAAATGATCGACACTTTCTTATCAATAAAAGTATATTTGTCCTCTCACGAGTCTAGTACTGCCTTGATGTGGTTTTATGTACTGAATCAATCAATATATCGATTTTTCAGTCAAACCACAGTATTCGCTCTTGTTTGCTATATTCTTTCGGATATTCTATTTTGGTCGACACTCTTCACATCAGTAGTGGCATTTTATTATGCACATAAAGCTATAGTACGTCCTGAGGAGATCAATTACATTCCATATGTGTAAGTTTTCGATCGATAACGTATTTAGAAGAAACAAACCTTTGAATAAGGCGGGATTTCTTTCTCAAAAAAGTAGCCCATCTCGTTGTCGAATTAGTGCTTCATTTTGAGAATAGTAGATTTTTTTTTTTGAGATAACCTTGTTTCGACCAGTCTCCATTTTAGGTGGTCGTTCTTAAGAGTGCAGTTATTCCCTGTTCTCTTCACATTGATTGACACACTTCTCGCTGTGTTCACGGTATGTTCAGTCTAAATAATGCACCATTATTTCTTTGGTCGTAAGGGTTGGACCAGTTTAAAAAGAAGTAAGATGTAGATACTTTTCTTTTCAATGAAAGTTCATCAAAAGAAAAAGTCGCGAAAAAAAATCGATTTTTCGGACAAAAAAAAAACAGCAACCTTTCTAACTTTATTGCTTTTACGAATGATTTCAGTTTTTTTTTGAGACTATTGCCGGATATTGCAAAAGTGGGAG